TTATTAGTCTGCTTAAACATGCTTGTTTTATCAGCACTCAGAATATGCAGTGAAAGACAATTTGCATCATGTGAGCTAATTCACATCAAATTTTAGCTAAAAAGTTTAAATTATGCATTTATAACTTCCTTAAATCTGAATCCCTTGGTTACTCTCAATGTCAAACCTGGAACAGCTACTAGCATTTTGGTCAATATAGTCAGACTTTTAAAAATATTTTAGGAGGTGATAATTACAAAAATATCATTGTTCCACATCAATCTCTTTCTTCAGGCACAGATATGGGAGTTCCAATGTGCCCCAAAAGGAGAAATTTCTTTAGTTTCTTCCTTAGACTCTTCACATCCTACAGCCTTTACTTTGGGAGCATTCCTTTCTCTAAAGCAACCCTGGTAATTTCCAAGGGCATTATTCAACTTACCGTAGTAAAAAATTTGCTAGCTCTACATGAAAGACATTAATGTGCTTCAGAGTCCACTCCAAAGGAAAATAGCACAGCGTCTGCTTTACTTCAGTCCAAACTTATGCCAATAATAGAAGGTGAGTTAGTTCTAATTTACCAGAATAAAGAAGCATATTCATACTTGCCTCAAAGATCAGCAGGATCCTGCTGTCCCGGAGATAACGTTCATAGGGGTAATCCTTCATATACCCAAGGGCTCCAAAAATCTGTAACGCTTCACTTACACACATCCAACAAGCTTCAGAACTAAACACCTGCCATGGATATAATGCTTTAATTACCCTTACAGCACCTGCCAACTTAAATACAAAACTTAATTGCTTTATTCTTATATCCTGTATTAAAAGTAGGGATAAAACTGCAATAATGAATTTAGATGAACTGTGTTTTTGCAATATTTTGCAGTACCTTTTATCTCTGTTTAAATCTGTCTACCAGTGCTATGGATTATGGTATACAGGAAACATATTAGTCCATAAAACTCAATGCTCAAACTGAACAGCCATTCCAAACTCCTTATCACCAAAGCAGCATACTATTTTTTACTAAATGGAAGAAAATGTGCTAACAGAATAACTGCCAGCATGCTTTAGAAATGATCCCATGATAGAGGACTTAAAACTGTCTCAATAAAAAGTAGCCACTTCTAGTCACAGAATAGGAAGCCAGATGGACAAAGAGACACTTCATAGCTCTTACTGTCCAAAAATCTCAACGTGTCTTGAGTATAAAAATACTAGGCAATTTGTCATGGTTCTTTGTCATGCCCTTCACTAGTTTTCGTTTTTAAGTCTTTATTCTTGGTAGTGGGCAGGGAAAACATTTAATAGGCTAGCGATAGAATGATGCCTTGTTAAATGGTCCCATGAGCAACTTCTTGGAGACCTCCCAGGGAATTCAGATGCACAGACAAAGAAAATATAGCTGGCTCCTTTTGACAGTTTGTAAGGCAAACAATGCATATCTTAATATGTGTTCTGTCTGAAGCAATAAGTAGGTATGATCTTAATACTGTAGAAACCTTTCAGTACTCAAAAGGCATCTATATACTGCCCCCTGACTGGGCTAGGAAGTATGTCACAGTGAAACATGGCATGTCTGCTCCAAGTGTAATCCCCCCATAGATGTAATATAGTTACCTTTGAGTGATGCTGAGCATATGCCAATAAGCTCAGTTTCAGAAAAATGTATTGGCACATGCCCAGTGCTGTTCTTAGATAGCTACATTACTCTCTTTCACCGTGCAGCGCACACATACCATGCTTTGCTGTGGTACTCCCTAGTGAGGTGCAGAAATGCTCGAAGCTTTCACAACCAACAGCATTTAAAGGATTGGATTATGAATGTTTCATTCATTCATTCACTCATTCAGGACTGCAGCACTAAAATGTAACCTTCTGGCTACTGCCCATGAAGACAGAGCAGGCCCAACTCATTCGTACATGGAAGAGGAGAGCTGTATTCTGCAACTGTCCTAGTCTCTGAGTTAATGTCAATGAAAACAGGCGTAACAGTTCCTTGTATTTCTCCAAGTACTGACCCTGTCTTGTAGCAGGGTCAGTACTTGGAGAAGTATCTGGCTGCTATTATTCTTGACCACTGGCCATGACAGAAAGAAATCCAGGACGACCCCCACTATCTTCCTACTTGAATCCCTAATCCCTTAGTGACAGACCCGCACAAAACAGAAAGATCCTCAAAAGTCTCCTTTGTTCACCAACATAACTTCAGTGCTGTCAATACCAGACTGTTGGCAGTGGAAAAACAGTTCTAGCCCGCTTGGTGGAGTGTCCATTTCCTGCACCCCTCAAATCTGATGTAACATTTAGTGTCTCCTTTATAAGAGCAGTTTGGGTATGGGCTGGGTTTCAGAAACTTTTGCTCTTCCCTACATGCCTAGAGTCTTAATGTGGCTTTGTTAGTGCAGCTGTTCTAGTACTACTACTTTTTTTTAAAAAGAAGCTTATGTGCTGGTATGAAGAAGTTTCATATAAAGATGGCAGCCTAAACTAATCTTCTTCAGGCTTACCACAGCAGGAAGTTAGGAAAAACAAGCATGCCCATTTTAATTCAGGTTACAGGATGACGAAGTGTCTCACACATGAGGACACAATATCAATTTGCAGCCAGAACTAGAGGCTTTAATCCAAATGATATTCTACAAGCATTAGGTCAGCCTTTCTAAGTAACATTTGCTACCTTGACCATGGCTGCTTCCAAAGAACAATCTGGCAGTCCTGGACCGTCCATCATTCTGGCAGTGAGATAAGCCATGCTCTCAATTACATATGCCTTCATAGTCATAAGAGCAAACTTTTCCTGTCAAACAGTAACCAAGGACAGAGAAACGTTCATCAGGCATTCACTTAGACATAGAACTGTCAGTCAAGTCAGATGTCATAATAAAATTTACTTCACAACTAAATGGAACTCATATACATATTAAGAAATACAACTCAGAGTACCAGATGCAAATTATAATTTTCACAGAAACTTGAAAAGCTCTATATTTGACTAATAAATACTGCAAGACATTTCTAAACATCAGTGGAGAAGCCTATTTTGACTAAACTTGAACACCTGGCATGTAGTAATCTGGCAATAACTTTTACCAGCCACCGAAAAGCCTGGAAAAGAACCAAAAAAATCTATCATCATCTAGCCCTTAATTCAGCATATAAATGATGGCAACTGCATTTTTAACATGTTTTGGTTTCTGATTACCTGAATTAATCCAAAGTCACTCAGTTTCTTATCGAACTGTTTTCTTGTACAAGCATACTCTGCTGCCATTTCTTAAGAGAGGAAAAAATCTTATAAGTAAGTGCAATTTTAAAGCAATCTTAAGATATTTTTGAAAACAAAACTTATTTGTTCACGTAATCTCAACTATTTAAAAATAACATGCATCTACCATTTATTTTTTGTGAAAGAGCTTCATAGTAAGTAGTGACATTCGTTTATTAATCCTATTACTGTGTGAATTCACCAGTGATATAAGTGAAATTCATTTTAGAATTTAACAAAACATGTCCCATAAAGAAATGTACATGTTGATGTACAAAGAGTGTCTTTAGCTAAAAAAGATCTTTATCCAAAACCAGAGCATAGTTGGTCAAAAATTTTCCAATGGGATGGTTTTCTATTGGAAAATGTTGATTCAACAGAAGTAAAACAGTCTGTAGGAGCATGCTGATACCATGGGAACTTTCAAGAGAAACCAAACAGGAAAGCTGGCCAGCTGATCAACCTAGTTTCCTGGCAGCCTGTGCTGGTAGGCTACCAATGAAGCCAGTGAACTTAAAAAGTGTATTTCAGAAACACCAAACTGTTACTGCAGCAGGAATATTTCTGAGTTTTTGCAACCAATGTGAAAACTGGAGATTGAGTCTTTGTTCCAATTAGAAACAACTTTTCTAAAGACCAAAACATTAGGGGTGAGGGTGAGTAGGATATCAATCCATTTCCAGGGCAGCTCGAATGGTGATTTGCATTGTGACAGCAAATATATTGATATCACAGAATGGTCTATTTACAAACCACCCTATTCCACACCAATCTCCCAGTGTAGTGCCAGTATTACAATTCCTCCAATACACTACTTGCTGGCATCTTCTTAAGTAGAACCAATAGGCAAATAAGTATTTAAACACAGGTTTGAAATGATAGTACAAGCAGGGTCAGAGGTGACTGTTTTAAAGGAGTTCCAAGCTGAAGATGCTCAACTATGTCCCCAGACAAAAAAAAGAAAAATATATATCAACAGTTTTTATGATAAAATACCAAATCCCCTAAATACAAAGAAAACCTTTGAGATCTTTCTTTTAACCACTTTTGATATGCACTGGCAAAAGCTGATTTTAATAGGTTCAATTACCACATTTACTTGACTTACAAGATGACCCTGAATGCAAGATGCCCCCGCCGCCCCCAATAATTAGATTTTACACATGGAAAATCTTTAAATTCATTATAATTTTCCATGTATGGAATCTAATTATTGGACAATCATCTTGGATTCCTCCCCTCCCACTACTACAGGGGGTGGGGGAGACAGGTGATGTAGGGGACACAGTGCTGTGGTAGGGCAGGCAGGGGGACGGTAATGGGGCAGGCAATGGGGTGCAGGTAGTAGGGGCAAGCAGCGTGGAGATGATGGGGTATGCTCCTGCTACAGGGCCAGGTTGGAGCCATACTCTGTGTCTCAGGCTGCAGCAGGGATGGAGCCTGCCGGTGAGGAGCAAAGGTAAGGAGAAGCACAGCAGAGAGGGAGGGAGAGGAGGAAGCAGCATTGCGGGGGGGAGGTCTGCAGGGGAGGAACGGCAGGTGGCATTTGTGGTTCCAACTGCAGCAGCAGCTGCCTGCCCTTGCCCCTCCCCTCCCACTGCCTTGTGCTTGATTGTAAAAGCAAGCGGCTTTCTCCACTCCTCGTGTTAAATGGGGCAGAACCTCATCTTCTGAATAAATACAGTATATATAAAATGTAATCCCAAATTACTTCACAATGTTTCTTTGAGACTGAATGGCATACATACTATTTTCCATATCTGGCCGCTTTTAAAAATAAGCAAATACAACTTTTAAAGGCCACTCTATTAGGATCTTTACATCAGAACAGATTATCACAGAACACTTGTATTTTGTATCAACTGAAAAAGCATAACATTTTATGGGCTGTAAATTGTTTTAAGAATTACAGATAGACTTTCTAGCTGAAAACAATGCTGCAGTTCCAAGTGGGTTGGAAAAGGTAGAGAGACTGCAAGCTTCTCTTTTGTATGGCAAAACAAACAAACAACTTTTACCTATCAACTTCTTAATAATTCCTACAGATGCACTCCCCATGCTAATCCTTGAATTACTCAGGATATTCAGAGCTACCTGCAAAGAAACACAGGTCATTAGTCAAGAGTTAACACTTTCAGTAAAGCATACTGTATTTTGTGAAATGCAAATCTAATGCAGGTGAAACAAACTTCCCTTCAGACTTAATTGTGTGCATCTCAGAAAGGATACCCAGTTTAATGAGAGTCGACTTGTTATCTACAGCTGTATCAGACACAGTACATTCCAAAGGATTTTCTTAGTGTGAAGGAATACGTACCAAACACCAACCAAATAGTAAGGTTTCAAAGACTGGGCTCCAAGGCTTGAAACAGATGTTGCTAAATGAAGCAGATCAACTGTGCCAGGATACATGAAGGCACAGCTGATCTGCTTCACTGGGCAACAAAGACATTGCCCCTTGTCCCATTCATTGATCCTACAGGAGAATGGCAACATGTTCCTCATTTCCAAGGGTGCACCCCAGATATTGGGGTTCCTGGAGATTGCAGGGGCTGTGGATCTGCAGGTGGGAAGCCCTGACTTTCCCTGCCTGCAGAGCCAGGGAACCAGGTCCAGTAGGCATTTTCTATACATTATTTAGATTTCACATGGCTAGCAGAAGCCAGCTATGCAAACTAGTCAGCCTTTGCTTATCTTAGGGCCAGTTAACTGCCTGGAAACTTATGGATTGTGGTATCAGGACTCAGTTTGCCCATCTTTCAGATCAGGAATGGAAGTGAGAAGGACAGAGTCACAAGGTTTACTTCTTAGGCTGGCTTGTACTGGGACACTGTGCGGCCTCCCCAAGTAGTAGCACTGTGAAGTGGCAGAGACTGGGCTTGCAAGGAAGGAAAGGAGAAAATTATTTTCAGCAAAGATCAAGAATCATAATTAAAGAGTCAGGGAGGAGGATATACATATATCCAAAAACAAAGTTACATCCTGCAGGATTCATCTCATTTTAAATAAGCCACATTCCTCTTCAAATTAAAAACAGACAATTATTCAGTTCAGAACTTTATTTTAGAAACAGGTAAAAAGAAATTATTTGGGGAGCAAAATTTCCTGATTTTCAAGAGTAAGAGAGACATTGAAAGGGCAGGAGGCAGGGGGGGAATCTATTAGATGCATACCAGGCAGAAGATCGCTTGTGTAAGTGTTGCTAATGTCATGTGTTTGTGATTAGCAATGACAATGTAAGAAAAACAGAAAATGTAGCAATAAGTAGGAAAATGGATGATATTTTTCTGGCCTTTGACATTTCATTGTGCATCCCAGCAGTGGTCTTCACAGTTCTGACTACTCATTAGGATCACAAATGAACAACAATAGAACACAAAAGAAGACTACGGATGAGTGCAAGAGAATGCCTCATAAATGGTGGTATAGTACAAATTATAGTCTATGAGATGTTGCTATTCCACACTAATCTAAAATCTCAAGAACCTACAGAAAAAAAAAGTATCATGCAACTTCAAAGGAGTGCTGGACTCGGGTAAATATGTTCTCATAGCCTCTTTTAAAATATGGCCAGGGAGGAAAGCATCTCCTGTTTTTCCATACTATCATTCTTCTTTCCAATACAATGCATTGTACCAAGAAAGCAGGATCAGCAAAGGAATCTTAACAGAGCTAAGTCTTGTTTCTTTAAATATGCTTTCAGAATTTCAGTGATAATCTTACTATTAGAAAAATTAATTAAGAAATCAAGAGCTATCCCATTGTCACAGAGAAGGAACTAAAAAAGTCAGTCTCCTCAGCCAATGTTCATCATCTTTAAATGAGTAACACAGACTCCTGTAGGTGATAATCTTTCTCCCACTGAGTAGGGAGGTGAAGGGAATTAAAAATGATGATTAGAGAAAAAACACAACAGGTGTGCTCAACTTGGTGACTGGTAAAGACCACACAGGCATCACGAAAGAAAGTTTACAGCAATGGGGAAATCAGGAATGGCTTTGTAGGCTGTCAATTTATTGCCTCCAGGCAGCCAGAAAGTTGATGCAGACAAAAAAACCCAAACAAAATACACCAAACAGAACGCCTGATATCTGAGAAAATATATATATAACACTATCATCAACATACGCTAGTTACAGAAGAGAAGTAAAATGAACCTGGGTAAAGTGTTCAAAATAGGCATTCAGAAGTTTTATGGTTCAGAAGTGGTTCAGATGACTAAGAGGAGTGGGCTAAAATCAAATAAGCAAATGTCACATCTTATTAACTCAAAACTATCATAAATGCAAAATTCTGAGGCAACAAGGAATAAAAGTATCTGAATTTCTGCTTTGTGGTTTCCATTTTTCCAGGTATCGTTATGCTATAAAGGTAATGCTAAACCTAGAGGGATGTTAATTCAGGAGTTTTGCACTTAGAATTCTATGAAAATGCTGTAATGTACCTCTTTGGACCATCTAAAAATATTTATGCAACCCTTTTGTTATCCAAGTTACTAATATGGCAGAAGGTGCTTTAAAACTCTCCAAACCACTAAAGAAAGAAAAACGATGACTTCTTAGTGTGAAGGAATATGTACCAAACACCAACCAAATAGTAAAGTTTCAAAGACTGGGCTCCGAGGCTTGAAATGGATGTTGCTAAATGAAGCAGGTCAGCTGTGCCAGGATATGTGAAGGCACAGCTGATCTGCTTCATTGGGCAACACACACATTGCCCATTGTCCCATCCATTGATCTTGCAGGACAATGGCCACATGTTCCTCATTTCCAAGGGTGCACTCCATATATTGGGGTTCCTGGAGATTGCTGAGGCCATGAATCTGCAAGTGGGGAACCCTGACTTTCCCTGCCTGCAGTGGAACCCTGACTTTCTCGGCCCTGGAGATGGCTACCC